GTTTTAAAAATAATTATCTATTGTATTACAGACCGTCTATTATAGGCCAAATCACTTAAAGAATGTCAGTTACAATACCTGCTGGTGTATTGTCTGCGTTTGGGTTTATGTTCGAGGCTACAGCTGCAATCCCTATTATAGTATTATCACCATCTTTCCTCAGCCTCACTGTGAATTTAAACTCACTTCCGGTCACTTGTGAAGGCAAGCACATATACTTTACTATCAAATAGAATATGGTTTATTATATCGTATGATATAAACATGTATAATAATGTTAATTGAAACATAATAAATGGCGTCCGTGGCCGAGTGGTTAAGGTTATTTACTTCAAACCACTTGCCCCTTACCGCTGTGGGTTCGAATCCTGACAGGGACTTTGGATTCTTTCAGGTAAGAAAGCTATCCAGCTGGCTTACGAACGCTAGTGGCTCTACTCAGGTGCCCGTTCATACCTGAAATAATGCACGGAAGGGCACCCGAGGTGATCCTCCACCAGTAAAGCTTGAACGTCGCCATATGGCCCATACTGTTTCGGTGCGACGTAAACCAAATTAAACAAACCAATTAAACATAATTAATGTACAAGACATGAAGTTAAAGGTTTAAAGTTCTACCTCTCTTGACATTTTCAGTTTGTTTGATGTAAATTTAAAAGAATAATTACAGGGTATTCATAACAAGCATTCTGACATTAGATAAGAAACCAGTATGGTCAAAACGAGGCTTTTTGCAGTATTTATTTGTTGGCAATGATTTTAACATTTTAGCATTTTAGTGATTAGTTTACATCAAAACTGGGTATAATTCTAATTTGACTTTAATCCACTTGCAACTTACTCCTGTTCGATCGAATCCCGGTAGGGACTTTGGATTGTTCGTGTAAGGACACTCTCCAGCTAGCTTGCTGGATGATGGTGGTTCAAGTCTTAAAGGTGTCTGCCTCTCTAAATTCATGTAGAGGCACTTGAGATTATCCGCTACCAGGAAAGCTCAAAAGTTGCCATAATTGTTATCTTCAAAGTGTTGGTGTGCAACCAAATAAAAGTAACGATTCAGTCATTTTGACAGAGACGGCCAACAACGCTTTCATTATTAAGTATAAAGATCTAGTGGTATGCTGATTCATGTACAGTGTGGTATTCAGTACACCTTGTCAGTTTTCAATAATCATCGTGGAAACAAGAAAGGTCTAAAATAATTGTACTCCGCGACTTTTGATGTTAAAAAAAATATTGGGGTGTAATCTTTGCAATGCGCCGCCGAAATTTAGCGATTGTTAATAGATTGGTATAAGGGATTAATATAAGATTGCTAAAAAGGTCAAGAGATGTTAAGATTCCATCACAATATTACTGTACTATTTTTGTAAAACGTTGGATATAAATGCTCAAATCTTCAGCGCAGCGAAAACTATATGAGAATACTGTGTAACCTTTGACGTTAGTACCGTCCATAATGAGCTAAACTATATAAGTCTGTCAACGACTTGATTTATATGGCCGGACCAAAGAATTAGAAAACTCTGTGCTCTGTTGACACCAGCTAACAATGTTTTCATTTAAATGACTCGACCTTATATCATTTCTAGATGATGACTTTACTAATATGATCAGGCCAAACAATTAGAAACCACTGGCGACACGATTGACTACATTAAGATAGCCTAAATAATTAGATTAACCCTGGTAGTCCTATATTTGGACGTCTGTAAAGAATTACGTAATTGTAATGGTCTAGATTAGTAGAATATCCCGAGTTTTATTGACGCACAGGTATATTTATAAAAGCTAGATTTATTGAAATGGTCTAAGTAAGTAAAAATAGCTTAAGCTTTGTGGATGTTTTTTTAAATAAGGACTTATTTGACATGGCTTAAACAACTAGAATAACCCGACTCTTAATAATGACTTCATTTGATATGTCTTAAACAACTAGAATAACCAGAACACAATTGTTATTTCTTAATAATGACTTCATTTGACATGACCTCAACAACCAAAATAATCCAAACTCCATTGTTATTTCTTAATAATGACTTCATTTGGCATGGCCTCAACAACCAAAATAATCCAAACTCCTTTGTTATCTCTCCATAATGATTTTATTTGATATGGCCTTAACAACTAAAATAACCCAAACTTTCATTGTTATCTCTAAATAATGATTTTATTTGGCATGGCCTAAACAACTAAAGTAACACAAACTTCATTGTAATCTCTAAATAATGACTTAAATTGATATGGCCTAAACAACTAAAATAATTCGTACTCCATTGTTATCTCTTGTAAATAACTTCATTTGACATGGACTAAACAACTAAAATAATCCGAACTCCATTGTTATCTCTTGATAATGACTTCATTTGATATGGCATAAAAACTAAAATATTCCGAATTCCATTGCATTTGATATGGCCTAAATAACTAATATAATCCGAATTCCATTGCATCTTTTAATAATGACTTAATTGATGTGGTACACAATTAGAGTATTTGGAGTTCCATTTATATTTTCTTCATGATAGTTGCCTAAAATAATTAGAATAACCCGAGATCCAGTGACGTCTCTTAATAATAGCTTCATTTAAATGGTGCATCATTAAAAAGCAAATGTTATAATGCTTATTAATTAATTAACAAACCTGTAACGCCGCAAGTTGTCTTCAAAAGGCCGCATATTGAAGCCCATACCAAAAATGTTTTCTGCAAAGATATAAAAAAGAAATGAAATGGGTACGACATCAATCCATGCATGCAGTAAAGGGTCAAAAGAAGCCCCTGAAAATACATGAACATAGAGAATAAATGCACGAAAACACATATAAAGTAAAATAAAAAAGCTAGGATATAAAAGTATCATATTTAGGCGAATTTTGTCTTTTCCGATTTGTGGCGAAATAACCCACACCTACTTTAATTAACAAAGATAGTTTAAATTGCAAACGAATAATTTTTCATAAACGCGCCTATATATTTACGTAACGCTACAATTTAGCGCGCCTTTACACTGTTTGTTCATCGTAAATGACGTTATGTCATTATATATGCACTCCCGTGCAAATATCCATTTTAACGGAGTCGCAAATTTCGGCACGGCTATGTGATAAATAGCTTTATTACATTCCTGCGCGGTGGTTGGTGAGATAAATGTTAACGTTACAGTATAGATGCATCCATGATTCTCTTGAACTGTAAACCGTTTTTGTGTCGAATATTATAAAATATAATATTCGTGTAGATTCAATGCTTAATTTATTGAACTCATTGAATAGCGCAATATTATGCTCGCGAGAGGCTCATATAATATAGTCTAATATAACTTGTCTAATAAATTCATCATTAAACCTAATACAGTCGATCAGCAGATAATTATATTTTCTATGCAAAATTCAAATTTTATTCTTATAAACCTCCGTAGTAGTTAAATTTAGTTAGAACTTAAAGTATATCAAGCAATAGCTTTTAAGAATATCCAAATGATACATTTCTATTGTTTTATCAGTATTTGTAATACTTAAGGAAAATTTGATCACTGTTGAACAATCCACATTATTTAATTCTAAATGATGTCCATTTAAGATAATTATTTAAATCAAAAGTGGAAGGAAACACGGGTAGTCGATGCTTGGCTTGGATAGTATGTGTTATACATGTACATGTTAATTCCAAATGTTTTAAAACATCATATTTTCAGGAAACCACAAAAGAATGTTGTTGCTTTAACTTTATCCGTAAATACTATCAATAAAGAAAAGGGGCGGAACTATCACCAGGTCTTATTTTGATTATGTTCCATATATCTTTATTAATTTTCAACCAATTTCCACCAAATAATGCACAATTTACTCAAAAATGAGTTTTGTTTGCAAGAATGAATGTACAATAGTGGACCAGTTTCTACGTAAAAAGATCGAATTTTAAAGCAAAAATGTACTTTTTGTTGACATCAATTGACTGGGCCGTTATATAACGACTTTGAACATAAATCGACCTCTTGCTTAATGATAAACTACAGACATTCGGTGAGTTAATCTCAAAAAGCATTTAACACACCGTACAATCAAATTAGCAGACAGCCGTTCAACCGTCGACAGCCGTACAAGTAAATACATGTCGTTGTAAAAATCACAATAGACAGACGGTAAGTAATTATCTATTCAATTGTGTTCGAGATAAATAGTCTATATCCAAAACAGCATGCTTACAAATTTCTGGCCTTGTGCTGAAAATAACCGCACGAGATAAATAACCAATCAGATTGCACTATTCATAGGAATTTTCGCTATTAACTGGACAAGTTCTATACCGCTACTTCACCTGATTTATAAATGTATTTATTTACGGTGCATACACCGTGTCTTAAGCCGGTGCTAGGGGGCGTGGACGGTAGTTTGCACTTAACAGTACCGTCCATGAATAGGCTCAATCAAACCGAGCCTGCAACATTTTCAATTTTGCCGTGTTGGGCTTTCTTTAGGGATTCTTATTTCACTCTATTTTTTCCATATATGGTAATTCCTCGTGTTTCTAATGGTTATAGTTTTGGCGGTTATTATGCACGATTTTACGTGTAAGTTGATAAAATATAGTCATTCGAGGCATTACGTTCACGCCGTCCATTTGTGAAATTTGTTTTTTTCTGCGCTCGAAATCATGTCCAGGGATTTTGACGAACTAAAGGCGTACTTTGATGAGCAATTTTCCGAAATAAAGAGAGATTTTGTCAACGCTCCTATTCCGCCAGCCGTGAAATCTACGACTCTCAAGTCAAAAGCTCTACAAGATCAACTTGACTATAACTGTGAGTTGCTTTCTCTCGTTCAGAACTTGGAATGTCTTACAAATCCTTTAGAAAACTGTGAAATAAGTGACATTTGTGCGAAAATTCAGAAGAAAATTAATCACCGTGTCAAACTGATCAAATTAGCGACAAATCTCCGGCAGGCTGGCTCGTCGTCAAAGAATACGAACAAGACGATTTGGCAAGCGACGACGAGGATAGCAGGAAAATCAGAAACGCAGAGAAGTCGGCTTTGGCGATTTAAAAGAACGGGGTGAATGGAGAAAGTCATTTACCAAGTTCAACTCTGCTCAACGTTATTCTCCTTATAACGTTTACAATTTTTCTAGGTCTGTCGGCAACAGATTTGCTATGGCATCTCATAATCCAGGGATTAGCAATTTTCGTCCCTTCACATACAACAACAAGTGGCGCCAGCCACCTTTCTACGGTCCAAGACCAACAGACCAATGTTTTGCCTGTGGCAAGTTCGGGCACTACCGATCTACCTGTCCTCACAACATCTTTATCCGGAATTCCAACGGAGGTGCAGTCTACTCAGAGTCGGAACCCAAGAAACGGTGAAGTCGACGTTTCCAAGGATCAAATGATAGACTTGAAAGTTGAGTATAATTTATCTTTTCATTCTTACAGCGAACAAAAGGTATTTTTGAGTTAAAAGAAAGACAGTTTTCTCCAAAAAATAAATTTAGTAAAAGGCAGATTAAAACAAAAAATAAAATTTTGGGATAAGATAGGCGCAAGCATTTATATAAAAGCGTTATCAGAGATGGTTACTTAATTCCTTTTATTCACACCCCAGTTTCAGTATGCTTGAAAAATAATCAGTCGGCCTTACAAAACATTCCTATTGTTTTAGACGCCGTTTCGGAACTGTTGATATCTGGGAGAGTTTTAGATGTGCCTTTTAAGCCCTTTGTAGTAAATCTTCTCACAGTTTCTGTGAATCGTTCTGGCAAGAAAAGATTAATTTTAGATTAAAGGCATATTAATCAATACATTGGAAAGAAAAAATGCGTTTTAAGGATGAAGAATTAGCTCTAGAATACGTTCGATTTATTTTCTCGTCTAATTGATGAAGATGATTGGTGCGTGTCCGATGATTTCTTTCGTTTTATAAACTCATTATGGGGGCCATTTACTATTGACCGTTTTGCTAATGTCGATAACAGAAAAATAATTCGTTTCAATTCTAAGTTTTGGAATCCAGAAAGCGAGGCTATTGACGCGTTGTCTCAAAATTGGCTAGGAGAAAATAATTGGTTAGTTCCACCCGTGTGTTTAGCAAGCAAATGTATTTTGCATTTAATTGACTGTCAGGCTTCAGGTACTTTGATTGTGCCGAAATGGCCTTCGGCTGCTTTCTGGCCTCTTGTTTTTGCAGACGAAATTTGCACTTGGAGAGATTATGTTTCAGATGCTTTAGAGTTTAACAATTCAGAAATCATTATACCCGGCAATAATAAAAAATCTTTGTTTGGATCTGGCCGTTTCAACGGGTCTGTTTTAGCTATTAAATTTGATGCCCGATCAAAATAAGAATTGAATTTGTTTTTATAAATAGTTTGCTCCGCCTTTCTCGGGTTTTTTATTTCTATTTTTAGTAACTTGAATGTTTTTAATACAGACTTCCACGTGTTTTTCTCGTTTTTGTTAAATGACACACAGAAGTATTTGTGTTATCGAGCATGCGTATTGTAATTCACTTGAATTCATTGACCTGTTGAAAAGATTGTTTACACGATACATTCATGTGATATACATGTTTATATATATATAAAATACAAGAAATAAAAGAGTGTATAGGAAAAGATAAAGGAGAAAAGATATGGGATGAATATTGTAATGGAAAGTTGTGGAAATGAATAGCGACAATTAATTGGTTTTGTCGAGAAAAGAAAAGAAAGAAGAAAAAGAAAGAATGAAAGAAAGAAAGAAAAAAAATGAATTAAGACCTGAAAGTTGTAGAAATGAAAAAAAAGGTGTATAAAAAAGAAATAAAAAATAGGTCAATGGACTCAAGTTTTCCCAGCATGCTTTATTGGTTTATTATTTTACATTTTTTCAGATATTTTCAAATTTGGCATACGGAAAGATCTTCATCATTTATCTGAAGGAAATCCAAATTTAAAAGATCTAGCAGATAAATTACCCGAGATAGTGCTTCAGAGTAAATCTGACAATACCAGGAAACAATATTCGTCTTACTTCAGAAAATGGATTGCATGTTGCATGGTGCAACCAGATGAAAATAGCTATAATATATCCCGCTTTGGATTTTCATATTGCTTTATTTCTAGTTTCATTGATTCAAAAAGAGAACTCGTACGCAGTAATTGAACATAGCTTTAATGCATTGAAATGGTCGCATGATTTTAGTGACGTAAAAAGCCCATGTGAGTCAAAAACGGTTAATTCAGTTTTAACTGCTGCAAAAAAGTTGTGCGGTTCACCAGTAGATAAGAAAAAAGCTTTGACATCTGAAGATATTACAAAAATGTTACATTCTTTCCGCCTGACGTAGTAGATTTGTACAAATTAAGGACATTAACTTTTGTTGTAATAGGTTTTGCCGGATTTCTTCGCATTTCAGAATTAAGAAATTTGAAATGTTCTGACGTAATATTCAAAGAAGATCATCTGCAGTTATTTATAAGATCAAGTAAAACAGATCAGACAAACAAAGGACAGAATGTCCTCATTGCGAAAACAGGAAAAGTAACCTGTCCTTATAATACGCTAAGCCTTTATTTTAAAAAAGGGAACATTAAAAGTAGCGATGATTTATTTCTATTTCGACAACTTTCTTTACACAAGAGCAAAAATACACATATGTTTAGAAACAACTTTGGTTTATCATACACAAGATTTAGGGAATTATTCCGGGAAGTACTGTCAGAATTAGGTTTGAATCCTGATTTATACGGCACACACAGTTTAAGACGCGGTGGTGCTACCGCCATCGCTATACATGGCATTTCAGACAGATTATTTAAAAAGCATGGAAGGTGGCAAAGTGATAAAGCAAAAAACGGTTCTGTTGCTGAAAACTTTTCGGAAAAGATATCAGTTACACAAAACTTAGGAATTTTAAATTCTTTTGAAAATTACTATATTATCTTTCACATTAAAGAATTGAATTGCCTTGGTCGTTTTATATTATGTTTCAATAATTAAATACTTAACTTTAATCTTGTTACAGGATTTTATTTTACATTTTTAAATTTCAATGATTATTCTTTTTGATTTCCCCTTCTTTATTTTTCGACGGCTTAACGGCATGCCCTCTAACCTTGTTTTATGTTATGTTTTTCTTTAAAGCTGCATGCTTGAATGTAGGTGTATGTTGGAGGATAATAAATAATTTATGCTCGTTTGAGAACATCGAATAAGAGCATAAATGTATTTATTTTCGGTGCATACACCATGTCTTTCCATATATGGTAATTCCTCGTGTTTTTAATGGTTAAAGTTTTCGCGGTAATTATGCACGATTATACGTGTAAGTTGATAAAATATAGTCATTCGAGGCATTACGTTCACGCCGTCCATTTGTGAAATTTCTTTAAATATAATTTTCATATATTACGAAATATCATGGATAAGATAAATTTATGCATTTAACATTGCCTTAAACAGATTTTTGATATCTTGTTTTATCTATTTCACATTCTCCGTCTTCGTTTTAACATGGATGTAAAAATTTAAAAAAATGAAGGAAAGGGAAGATATCAATGCCATGTTTTGATTTAATCTGAAAGTAATGCATTTTATATAATTAATGGTTTTTTATTAGACTCAAAATTGGGGATATGTTAGATAGTATCTCGTGGCCACGGCATAGTATCTCGTTCCCACGACTTAACTATTTCGTGGCCACGACTAAGTAACTCATTGCAACGACATAGTATCCCGTGGCCACGACTTAATTATCTCGTGGCCACGGCGTAGTAACACGTGGCCACGACATAGTATATTGTTCCCACAACTGAATTATTTCGTGGCCACGACTTGGTAACTCGTGGCCACGACATAGTATCTCGCGCGCACGAGATAGATAAAAACACACACATGTACAAAAAGTTCAATTCTTTGCGAAAGTGAAGGCAGCTAGTATTGGTAAACTGCTTGATAGGCTGCCCAGGAACAATGTGGTGGTTGATCTGTGCTCTGGTGAATTCAATGTGGCTTACTAGATATGAACATTATTTTGTGGTGTCTATCGTGAAGAGCGGAAAAGCATATTAAACAAGATGCGCATTGAGGCACTTCATGTGGAACTGGGACTGAGAAAAAGTCAAATCACACTCGCACACAAACTTACTAATCATACTTTTAATTCATATGCTGTAAAATAAATCATTTTATATATAGCGGAAAATCTAGAAATTATTGAAGTGTATATGGACTTCGAAAGTATGAGATCTATAAGAAAGTACCATGAATTAAAGAATATTTTAAATAAACAAAAAGTTTGAATATTTCATAGTAACTGTAGCACAAAAGTTCTGAAAATTGTTTCGTTGAATGTTTTTAAGCATTATTCATTCTTGCTGATGAGTGGATGTCGATGTTATCATTAAAAGAAGCGAACGGCTGATGACGTTACTCAAATTTTGAAGACATTTAAACTTTAATACCCTAAATCATTAAAAGAAAGTCATTTTTGAAGGTATGGTTTGATATATTAAATGATGAAATGTTGAAGTTTACGAATCGTATCTTAAAATGATTTATCATGTTGAGAAAATATAAGTCTGTGTGACTTTTTAGCTCACCTGTCACAAAGTGACAGGGTGAGCTTTTGCAATCGCTTTTCGTCCGGCATCCGTCCGTCGTCCGTCCGTCCGTAAACTTTTACCTTAAATGTCATCTCCTCATAAACCACTAAGCCAATTTCATTCAAACTTCATAGGAATGGTTCTTTGGTGTTTACCTTTAAAAATTGTTCAAAGAATTTAATTCCATGCAGAACTCTGGTTGCCATAGCAACCGAAAGAAAACACTTTAAATATCTTCTTTTTTAAAATCCTAAGAGCTAGAGTTTAGATATTTGGCATGAAACACCTTCTAATGAGTGTCTACCAAGTTTGTTCAAATGAAAGCCCTTGAGTTAAAATTGGCCCTGCCCCAGGGGGTCTTTGATTTTCCCTATATGCTTATAGTAAAAACTTAAAAAATCTTCTTTTGAAGAACCCAAAGAGCTAGAGCTAAGATATTTAGCATGGAACATCTCCTCATGAGTGTCTACCAAGTTTGTTCAAATAATAGCCCTGGGGTCAAAATTGGCCCGGCCCCAGGTGGGTCATTTATTTTCCCTTCATGGATATTGTAAAAACTTCTTTTAAATAACTCGAAGAGCTAATGCTAAGCTATTTAGCATGAAATATGTTCTAATTTGTGTCTACCAAGTTTGTTCAAATAAAAGCCCTTGGGTCAAAATTGGCCCCACCCCGGGGTCACTAATTTTTCTTATATGTATAAAACAAAAACTTAAAAAATCTTCTTTGAAGAAAATCCAAATAGCTTGAGTTTAGATATTAAGCATGAAACATCTTCTAGTGAGTGTCTACAAAGTTTGTTCAAATAAAAGCCCTGGATTCAAAATTGGCCCTGCCCCGGGTGTTATTGATTTTCCTTAAATTTGTATAGCAAACACTTAAAAATCTTCTTTGAAAAAAACCAATTAGCTAGAGTTTATATATAAAGAATGAAACATCTTCTAGTAATTATCTACAAAGTTTGTTCAAATAAAAGCCCTAGGGTCATAATTGCCCCTGCCCCAGGGGTGTCATTGGTTTTAACTATATGTGTATAGTGAAAACGTTAAAAAATCTTCTTTTAAAAAAAACCAATGAGCTAGAGCTTAGATGTTTAGCATGAAACATCTTCTTATGGGTGTCTACCAAGTGTGTTCAAATAAAAGCCCCTGGGTCAAAATTGGCCCTGCCGGGGGGCGCAAGGAAGGGATAGATATGTTGTTTTTCATTGTATGTGTGTAGTAAAAACTTTACATTGTGAAACATTTTTTATGGGTGTCTTCCAAATTTTTTCAAATAAAAGCTCTGGGGTTTAAACTGGCCCACCCCGGGTGCCTTTATACAGGTGAGCGACCTCAGGGCCATCATGGCCCTCTTGTTTTAAAAGTGTTGCTTCTTATCGGAAATGTGTGTGTATTTGTTTTAATTAAAAGTTCAAGTAAAGTAAAGCTTGCTCAGGCCCAGTCAATATAAATGTTATATTTTTAGGCTAAATATGACTTATCGTAACCATGCGGGTAACAATTTCACGGGCTATGGAGCTGTGACAAGCCAGTCGTACCATTATAATATATCACTATATATTTTTTTATTTGTAGACAAACTTGAAATTAGTTTATTAAAATGGAGTCCACGTACTGTAGACAAATTTTGCCTTTTTAATGGTATGCTAAATATACTAGTAGACTTCTGGGTATTAACAATGGTATCAACATTCTTAGACCAATGGTAACATAAACTACCATTTATACCACTGCCTAACATTTTAATCTAAACTCAGTTTATCATTCTTTTAGTGCATTCTATGTTATAGTTTATTTTTATAAGACTGACACACAACAATTTAGTTAATATTTGAAAGAAATACAATAACATGTATAAGCTTTCGGTGGAAAACTATTTTAATTTATGATAACAAGAATTATAACATACCAGCTGAATTAAATCCATTTCGAATATGATCACATATGCAACAACTTATGAAACACATCATAGATGATCCGTAACCGGGTGTATATAGTTACGCATTGCTTCGTTTAAAGGGATGATTTAATCAAATATATTAAAGTTAATGCGTGTGAATGTAAAAAGTGAAAGAAATTGCAAATTACTTGCAAAGTGTTTAATAATAGCAGTTTTCGCTCTAAATATGAAACAATCTGGCTGTTTTGGGTTATACAGATTGTTTAAACAGGTTATATATGACTCAGTGTTAACGGTTATATTGCATATAACCGTTTATATGTCGCCGAGGCACAAGAGCTCTCCCTTAAGTCTAGGGAACTGGATTGTCTCAGCGGTAGAGTCTCGTAGATCTGAGGCCAGGTGATGGCAAATCAAATCAGCTTCCGGCTGCAGCAATATATTTATTTCTTTATTATAATTAATTTTATGATTTAAGTTAAGGTTATAAAAACAAAACGTACATAGGACAATCCTATCTTTTTCAAAATATATTGTTTGATTGACCCTATTGGTCAAACTTGAATTCCTCATAGAAAATCATTTAAATAACAAAGGAATAGTAAAGAGGAAACTGTGAAGAGATAGCGTCACTGTTAGTCACTTACAATGTTATAGGGATGATAAAGGTAAATGTGTACACCTGTGATATATACATTGTCAAATTATCTGTAAGACATCTTCGTGAAATTTAAAGCGTTAATTCACGAAGCTGAAAGTTGAATGATCTTGTATGTTGTAATTAAGGATGTACACCAGACTTAAGAGAACTCATATATATGTATATAATTATGCTTAGAAAACAAGTGTCAAACATCAAAGAATATGTAACATTTGTACTGCAAATATTTGTACATATCATTTATGCATTCATTTCTTATTGGATAAATTGACTTAGACTTTACAGAAAACAATTTTTCATTACCTCCATTTATTTCCATTAAATGTTAAATTCGGTAATATCTTTATAAATAATGCTTTTTTGAACTTACAAAATTGATTAATCTTAATTTGAGCATTATGTTTATGATATAAAACCAAAATAAAATTGTGTTACAGCGTGAATTCATGAAGTTGAAATCGTGAATTCAAGATGTTGAAATCATGAATTCAAGAAGTTGAAATCATGAATTCAAGAAATTTCATTGTAAATTTATGAAGATTAAAACATGAATTAATGCAGTTGAAATGTCGCCACCGGTCATTCGTAACTAATCGTTCGATTCCCGCTCATTCACTTAAATATATATTAACTAATGTTCTTCCGAATGAGACCTTTATTGAAACAAGTTTGTTTCTTCTTTAGCAAAAAAGCATGCGAAAGGTCGTTTTGCAACTGTAGAAAATTTGGGTTTTTTTTTGTTTATTTCGAAAATATTTGGAAATATTTTTGCTTAAAAAGCAGAATGAATGTTTTGTAAATTACAATTATTTAACAAAATTGACATTATTATATAAAGTATCATAATAAAAGTTTGTTTTACGCTTCATTTGTTTTGAAGATTGTATGGCGGAGAAATGGAGTTTTTCTTGGCGCACCAGCAATATTCCTTCTACAAAGGCAACAATTTATGTTATGTTATAACTTGGTAGTCTATAGAAAAATTTCCTCTCAAAAAGATTTTTTCCAAAAAGGGCAAAATTATTGTT